TTTGCCTGAAAGCCCAAAGGATAATGGCCCTCAGAATAATTAAACACATTTTGGAAAGCTAATGCCTCCTGGGTTTTTTGTTTGTTTGTTTGTTTTGTTTTATTTTATTTTATAGCAGTGGAAACACTCCCATCCCCCTAAGAGAGAGAGAGAAAGAGAGAGAGAGAGAGAGATGAAATAAAGACAATTCTCTTCCTTTTGCAAAATCACAACCACTATCACCAATGAAGGGATAAAGGCAGGGGTAGCTGCTACTTGTTTTGTGTTTTGTTGTTGGTGGTGATTTTTTTTTTTAAGTTCCTTTTGACAGATACAAAAGTATTTGCATCCCTGTCACTAAGCTTCTGGTGAGCATATATTTTATAGAAAGATCTTTTATAAGCTTAACTACAGAATAAAAAATTTTAACTGCTAAAAATTCTTTTAGCAGATTGGAGAGGGCTTTATCCAATGACATTCATACCCCCTCTTCTTAAAAATGGTATTTAAAAGTTACAGCATTGACTGAGATTTTCACAATTCCCTGTCTTTTACCCTTCTCTAAAGTCCTGACAAAGAACTTTTGTTCTAGGTGGGTTTTGCAGAGGGTGCTCCCCCACCACACATGTGGTCCTTCATAGGTCAGGGGTCATCCAGACCAGGAGTGTCAGAGACCACTGAATCAAAAGTGACCTGCAATTTAATATCCTGCTGATGATCTGTTGAATTTATGAGACGGTGATGTAGACGATGGTACTAGAATCTTCTAATATCCTCTTTTTTGTCCAGGATATACAGACAGTGTATTTCACACTTGTTTCTCCTATTTCTTCTCCCAGCTCCTCCCCCCACTTTCACCCCTTTTCTTAAGAGGAAAATTTGAATGTTATTGTGATCCAGTGCTTCTGCTTTCCAATTTAACAGTCGGTTTTGTTTGCTTGTTTGTTTTGGCTTCTCCTGCCCAGCAATGTACCTATGTGTGTGAGAGAGAGTATAGTGGACGTTCATATACTGTATTTATGTATATGCGAACAAAATGCACATCATACAAAACAAACCCTCAATCAACATCGTTCAGAGGCCCACAAACCAAAAGAAGAAGTGCTCAGTTGGTAAATGATACTTCCTTTTCCTTTTTTTTTTTTTTTTTTTTAACAGCACGAATTCTTGATCGTGCTTTGATTCCCTACACTTGTCGAGAAATGAACGCCGGCCCTTGTGCCCAGGGGCCAGGATCCATATCAGCCCCAGGCTCAGGCTTTGCTGTTTGCCCTGTGCAGGCTTTTTAAGATTTGGAAAGTAATTTTAGGAAACTTACACAGAGGGAGCATGTTTGCCGGGTGGAGACAGTTATGGGTCTGTGAGTCTGACACCGCTACCGACCGGCCCCTTCAGAAACCTGTTGAAAAACTGAATTCACACTCACACAGTGCATAACGGAGCTTGGCCGCTTTCTCCGCCTCCCCACCTCCCGCCCCCCAGCCCTGAAATCCGAGTCTATTTTTGAGGCAGTAACTCTGAAAGACTTTGCAGTTTATTTTTCCTTGCTCTCTCTCTCTCGCTCGCTGTTCTCTCTCCTTCCTTTAAAAAAAAAAAAAACTGTCAAGAAGGAAAGGGGTTGTGTGGTTTGCAGAGAAATAAAGCACTTCTGAGAGGGGACGGAGACGTGACTTTGAACTTGGCTCAGATCCTCTGTGTCCTGCAGAGAGAGGAGAACTGGAGCCGGGAAAGAATAGCCAGGAGGGCCCAATCCGCGGGGTCTCCGGCGGGAATGAAGGCGTCTGCCCCACCGCCTGGCAGCGCTCGGCCCCGGAATCCAGTGCAAGCAAGCACCCAGCGGCGCCATCCCCAAATGCGAACGCAGCAAAGAAGGAATCAAAGCAAAAGGAGAGAATGGGTCAAAAAGGAGAGGGAGGGAGGATTGGGGAGGGGTGAGAAAGTGGGGAAGGAGAAAAACTTGGAAGTCTGAGACTTGAAAGAAGGAAGGGAACTGAGGTCTTTGGATATGCAGGATTGTTATTCCCACAACCAATCTCTAGGAAAATATTTTTTGGAAATAGTTTTGGAGTAAGTTATTCCAACTACTCCCTCTTCATTCAACCCCCTCCCCCAAATTAATTGACAAGTAAACAAGCATAAAAGACTGTGAGTTGGGCAATTTTTAATGGATTCAATAGGGCAGTCTTTTCGCCTGGCGATACACTGTCATTATCTCTCTCTCCCTTCCTCCATTTCTCCCTCCCCACTTCAGTGGGGTTAGTTTGGCAACTTCCCTCCTCCCCTTTTACACAAGAGATAGGTTTGTGGAAAGAGGAGTATTTCCTTCTTCCAGAAAGGCGAGAATCTCCAGCTTCGAGGCTTTCAGGCAAGATGCCAGTCTCTCTCCTTCCCCCGCCCCTTCTCCCCGCTTCGCCCCCCAATGGCAGGGAATCCGGAACACAGAAGGAAGGCTCAGGGCCCTTTATGGAAGGGACTTTGGTCAGCTCCAACATTGAGTAAGACCCACATAAGCTGGGAAAGTACCTAAGCCAGCGCGGGAGAGACTGGATTCTGCCAGCAATAAGCGAGCTAGAGGATTCTTCCCGCGTTTTTTATTGCATTTCAACATAAAAATTTGAAGTGCAGGTTGATTATACTCTCTTACTTGAATTTTATTTTAACTCCCAGATTTGTAAATAAAACCAGTTTTCCTAGTCAGCCAGATGAAGGACGACGTTGGCCTCAGGCCGTCCCTTCACATCTCCGCAGCATTCGGGCCCGCTCTGTTCCCTCTCCAGGCGGTGGGACAAGAAATGTCCTCAGTGGCCAGTCTGGGCTCCGGCTGCAGCTGGAGCCGCAGGGCCAGAGGCTGGTCATGCGCCGCTCAGGGTGCAGCTTCACGGTGGGCCCACCGCCCGAAGAGGCAGTCTCTGATCCAGGGGAAACAGTGATTATTTACCTTCTAGAAGGCTTAAACCCTAGACTGGCAGTTTCTCACTAGAGGCCCTGAGTCTGACCCGAAGCCAAACTTTGGCCTGAGCCTGGCTTGGCTGCCGGCGTCCCACTTTCCAGCCCCTCGTGGTGGCGGCCGGGGCTACTGGGCATCCACCCCGAGGGTGACACTGTCTTTAAACGACTACCAAACAACCCCTCCCTCGCAGGGGGCACTGGCTAGTGTTTACAGCTGTAATTGGAGCAGGACGCGAGCCGGCAGGGGGCTGGGGGGAGCCAAGCGCGTCCAGAGGCAGGTGGGGACCACCGCCCGGCGTGGGGGCGGTGTCTGGGTGAGCGTCCACAGTGGGAGGAAGGGGGAAGCCTGGCTTTCTCTACGCCCACCATCCTTCACCGGTATTTTCGACATCACAAACCGAGTTTACCAAGGTGGGTGGGGGAAAATAGGGAGCATGCTAACGGGGCAGTGCGCTCCTTGGAGGATCCCGAGCCTCAAATGTCCCCGCGCGTAGGGCCTTCTGCTACGCGACTCGTCTAAAAGCGACGTCTCAATGAGCAGGGTGTCCCTGCTGGGGGTCTCTAGGGTTGAGGTGTCGCTGGCAGTGGCTCGGAACCTCAATCGGTGGCCTCCGCTGAGGGACATGGGTACAGTGCGCCTTCCCGCTCCTGTCCGGGGCCGGGCCGAGAAGGGCATATGGCTCCGCAGCCTGGCCGGGCATAACGCCTGCCACCGGGCCCCTGAAAGCGCCAGCCGGGACGAGAAGCCGCAGCGGTAGGCGCGAGGGTGAAGCGCCGCAGGCTTGGGCCCGCGGGCACGCTCGGCGGCTGCTCAGGATGCAAAGAGCTCCTGGGGAGCGGTGGAGGCGGGGCGGGGCGGGTGCAGGGTTGGGGCCACCGGATTGACGAGGCCGTAGTGGCCAATGGTGGCTCCAGGAGGGCGGGCGGGGCGGGAGCCGCCGTTAAAGGGGCGGTGTGACCGGGAGGCCCGGCCTGGAGCGGGAGGGAGGGAAGCCGGGGCGGGAGGCTAGGGGACGCGGGGGAGGGGAGAGGAAAAGGAGGAGACAAAAAATAAAAGGCTTCTGCTGCGGCGGCAGCGCCCACCGAAATAAACAGAGGCGGTGGCGAATGCAGCCCACCGCAGCCAAGAGGGGGGAGCCCGCTTTGGCCTCCTCACACTTGCTTGGGCCGTGGACTCCGCTCTGTTCCCGCGGGTACAGCTACCCGCTCTCGGGCCATCGGCTAGGGCCGACCGGCCTGAGGAAGGGGGCGAGCGAGAGATTACTTTTTTATTGTTGTTATTGTTTTTCAGCCTAGCTTCCCTCTCCTCCCCTCCCCCTTCTCGCTTTCTCCCCTCCCACAGTCCCCTTCCCCCCTCTCCTCCCCCGCCTCCTCCTCCCGCACAACTTAAAGAAAGAAGGAGCGGCGCGGCTGTTTCCTTCATCTGGGGGAATTCGTGGCCACTGCAAGTTTACTACTCGAGGCGCAGCCAATGCCAAGCGCGGAGGACTAGGAGGGCTAAACACCTCAGTCGCGGCGCGGAACAATACCCGCAGCACGCGGGGCGGCCCGAGCTAGGACTCAGGAGAGGGATCGGCCGCCCAAACGCGCCGTGGACTCGGCGCCTGGCCTGCGCCTGTTTTCCCAGCGCCCGCGCCGTGGTCAGGTGGAGCCGCGGGTGCGTCGGGCTCGGGCGCCAGGCACTCAAAGCGGAGCTCGCCTCTGTCCTTTCCTCAACCGCCTGCCTGGCCCGCGCACGGCCGCCGCCCTCGGGCACTGTGGTCCTGCAGCTGCAGTGATTTCATTCTGCGGGCGCCGCTTGGCGCGATCTGCCCCGGGGTCCGCGGGGCGTGCGAGCGAGTGAGTGTGTGCGTGCGCGCGCGAGTGCGCGCAGGGGTGGGGGCCGCGGCGCTGCGCTCGCCCCCGTTGGCCCCCCTCTCTGCTCGGCTCTCCACACCTCCCTCCCGCTCCCTCCTCCCGCCCGCCCTCCCCTGCCCTGCTCGCCCGCCCCCGCCGCAGCTCCTTTAATACACTTTGGTTCTCCGCCTGGCTTTGGACTCTTCTCCTCCACCTCCTCCTCCTCCTCCTCCTCCCGCGCCTCCTCCGCCGCCGCCTCCTCCTCTTCCTCTCCGCGCCTTCGCTCGGTGCCCGGCTGCCCGAGGCAGATCCAGGCGGCGGCGGAGGCGGCGGGTGCAGGAGCGCGGCTCCCGGGGCAGAAGCCACAACTACCTCCGCCGCCTGCCCCCATAGCCGGTGGCCGCCGGACGCATCTCACGGATCGGAAGAGGGAGCCGAGGCGGCGCGGAAGCACAGGGCTCGCCGGGGCCGGCGGGCGCGCTGGCCATGCTTCTGGACGCGGGTCCGCAGTTCCCGGCCATCGGGGTGGGCAGCTTCGCGCGCCACCATCATCATTCGGCCGCCGCCGCGGCGGCGGCAGCCGCCGAGATGCAAGACCGTGAACTGAGCCTGGCGGCAGCACAGAACGGCTTCGTGGACTCGGCCGCTGCGCACATGGGAGCCTTCAAGCTCAACCCAGGCGCGCACGAACTGTCCCCCGGCCAGAGCTCGGCATTTACGTCGCAGGGCCCCGGTGCTTACCCTGGCTCCGCTGCGGCGGCTGCTGCCGCCGCCGCGCTCGGGCCCCACGCCGCTCATGTTGGCTCCTACTCCGGGCCTCCCTTTAACTCCACCCGGGACTTCCTGTTCCGCAGCCGCGGCTTCGGGGACTCGGCACCGGGCGGCGGGCAGCACGGGCTCTTCGGACCTGGCGCAGGCGGCCTTCACCATGCGCACTCGGACGCGCAGGGCCATCTCCTGTTCCCTGGCCTCCCGGAGCAGCATGGGCCGCACGGCTCGCAGAACGTGCTCAACGGGCAGATGCGCCTCGGGCTGCCGGGCGAGGTGTTCGGGCGCTCGGAGCAATACCGCCAAGTGGCCAGCCCGCGGACTGACCCCTACTCCGCGGCTCAACTCCACAACCAGTATGGCCCCATGAATATGAACATGGGTATGAACATGGCAGCGGCCGCGGCCCACCACCACCACCATCACCACCACCCCGGTGCCTTTTTCCGCTACATGCGGCAGCAATGCATCAAGCAGGAGCTCATCTGCAAGTGGATCGACCCCGAGCAGCTGAGCAACCCCAAGAAGAGCTGCAACAAAACTTTCAGCACCATGCACGAGCTGGTGACCCACGTCTCAGTGGAGCATGTCGGCGGCCCGGAGCAGAGCAACCACGTCTGCTTCTGGGAGGAGTGTCCGCGCGAGGGCAAGCCCTTCAAGGCCAAATACAAACTGGTCAACCACATCCGCGTCCACACAGGCGAGAAACCCTTCCCCTGCCCGTTCCCAGGCTGCGGCAAGGTTTTCGCGCGCTCCGAGAACCTCAAGATTCACAAAAGGACCCACACAGGTAATCGCGGGCAGGGACAGGGATCAGGCGCCCAGGGGAGAGACGCACAAGCTGAGGGGTGTGGGTGTTTGTGTGTATATGTGTGCGGATGCTGGGCGCCAGCCACCAGCCGGTGCCCTGGGATGGGAAATGTTTTTGTGTGTGCAAGAGAGCCAACGGCTTGTTTTTGTTGGAGGATGAAAGAGTATTATCGGGCTGGGTTTTTCCATGTGCGGAAATTGAGTTTTAAACGCTCATCATAACATCAAATGTATGCTTGCGGTGATGCAATTGTTGTTACTGAGTCCGGATTAATAATTTCCGTTCGAAATAGAACGCACAAAATAAAACTGCTCCCTAACCGTGCCCGGGAAGCGAAGCTAGCGAGGATTTTGCCGGCTTGTCCGAATGTGCTTTTCTCCGGGTGGATGCGTGCGTTTGAGTGGCTTGTGTGTTTTCACACTTCTTTTACTCAGAGTCCAAACGCCCTTCCCGGGACTGTTTCCCATTAAATGAGTCTGGTGTGAGCCGAAGCTGTAAAGCATTTCTCATTTTTAAAGTGTTTTTAAAGCCCTTCTCAGTGTGGGTCGCGGGGGCTTTACGGTGGTTTCGCAGCAGTTTGTGAAATTCTCTAATGGGCACCAGAGGGTTTGCAATTCCAAACTTGTACCCACAACCCGGCCAGTGAGAGCCCCAGGCATCACGGCCCCGCAGGGGGATCGCGTGAGGAGAGAGCGCCGCTAAAGAACGCGCCTTCCGCCTCATAGATTATTCATCTATGACCAGGTCTCAGCCAAAATCGTGCCAGACGATTTCCTAAAAGAAAGCCAAATGTTTTAGCAACTTCCCCCGTCAATATTTACTCCAAAGTGGGGATGCGCCCGCGGCCTATTGTTCTCTTTTGGGAAGGGAGGGAGCCGAGGTGCGAGACAAGCTTTTAACAAGGTTTAAAATTTGAGAAATTTATTTGCATGAAATGCTCGCTTTCGAGTCCTGTGTCTGAGCGGATGTCTTTTAAAAAAAACAATTTAGGTGCTAATGGAATTTAACGTTAAACGGTCCCCTTTCCAAATGGAACGACGTTTGAGTTCTCACACCTCTAAATGACTCCAAGCATTTGGAATCCTGGCAACAGGATGCAGGGACCGCCAGAAAATTAAACAGCGATATTTTGAAAGGTTATCCTGATTCCAGCCCCCATCCCTCACCTCCGCTTGTGCCTGTCTACAATCATTCGAAGGCTGCCTTCTCTTTAATATTTACTTTTTTTCCAATTTTTTTTTTTTTTTAAAGAGTGGAGGTAGGATTCTGCTTAATTCAATTTGCAGAGTTTTGGATGAAAAAATACTGGCTCAGTCACTACCCACAGCCCGGCTCCTAGACAACACACAGCAACTCCAAATGTAATTGCTTACTGGCCCCAAAAAGAAACCAACAGGAGCTCTGCAGCCTGTGCGATTTTGATAATGCCCCAAATATTTTGTCATAATAACAGCTTCTCCATGGCGAGACCAACTTGTTAGAAGCTGGGAATCCAAGAAGCCCTGCAGGAGGAGGGATAGGGCCAGGAGCTACCCCACATTCGTTAGAAATACGAGGAGATGGGCGTCAGTCTGGAAGAAAGTAAATTACGAAATGAACGATCAGGTCTGTTAGTTGAAGAGGCGGTGAATTTCGTCTTGGATCTTCCACAGGGGGAATTTGGCCAGTTTCAGGGACTCGGCCCCTCGCCCTTCTTCCCCTCCCCCACAACGCAGCTCCTCTGCCCCCTGGCAGCCTGGGTAAAGGTTCTAGGGGTCTCAGGGTCCGCAGCAAGCGCCCCTGTTTGCCGTCCACAGGGGAGAAGCCCTTCCAGTGTGAGTTCGAGGGCTGCGACCGGCGCTTCGCCAACAGCAGCGACAGGAAGAAGCACATGCACGTCCACACCTCCGATAAGCCCTATCTCTGCAAGATGTGCGACAAGTCTTACACTCACCCCAGTTCTCTGCGGAAGCACATGAAGGTACCACCGCGGGAGCCGGGCCTGGACGGCCTAGGCAACCGGGGAGGGTCCCCAGGGGCCTGGGCGGCGGGGGCCCCGGCCTCACAGCAGCTGCACTCACACCCAGTCCCCTCTGGTCCCCCCTCCCGGCTTTTGTCTTGCAGGTCCATGAGTCCTCCCCTCAGGGCTCCGAGTCCTCCCCGGCCGCCAGCTCGGGCTACGAGTCCTCCACTCCCCCGGGGCTGGTGTCCCCCAGCGCTGAGCCCCAGAGCAGCTCCAACCTGTCCCCGGCGGCGGCGGCGGCGGCGGCAGCAGCAGCGGCGGCGGCGGCCGCGGTGTCCGCAGTGCACCGGGGCGGAGGCTCCGGCAGCGCCGGCTCCGGAGGCGGCTCGGGCGGAGGCAGCGGCGGGGGCGGCGGCGGGGCGGGCGGCGGGGGCGGCGGCAGCTCTGGCGGGGGCAGCGGGACAGCTGGAGGCCACAGCGGCCTCTCCTCCAACTTCAATGAATGGTACGTGTGAGGGGCCGGCGCCTCTCTCCCTCTCTCCCCTGTCCCCACCTCGGCAGCGTGTGCTGAGGGCACCTTGTGATCGTGTTGTTAAAATTACCAATCTGATTTTTATGATGATGAAAATGATTTTACCAGCAGAAGGATTTTTAAAAAAAAAAGTTTTTTTTTTTTAAAAAAAAACAAAAACAAAAAACAATCTAGGCATGAAAAGCAAAATATCCCTCTGGAGTCTCTGAAGCTGAAAATATAAGAAATTAAAAAAAAAAAACCACAAAAATATTGAACCAAACCTCCCTGCCTACTCCCGTGCCCACTTTCCTTCCCACGCTCTTCCTAGTCTTTTGACAAATTGTACATAGCGGACTCCTTCCTTCTCCGAGGTGATTTTAATGGCTTCTTGGTGTATAGAAGTTTGTCCATTTGTAAACTGGATTGCGTTCCTTCCTGCCTTCTTCCCCTTCCCTTCTCCAAGTGACGGGCTTTTTCTTTTCTCTTTTTAGTTTACCCGGTTTCTTTTTTAAGTAATGTGGAAGAAAATGGTTTATTTTGTATTGTGGTATTGAATATTGTGTTCCTTTTTATGAGGCAACTTGATTGTAAACTTCATGCAAGTATAGACTGGAAAAAAACAAAAACAAAACAAACAAAAAAAAAAAACGAGCCGTGCCAAAGTCTCCCTTCTGTTTCTTCAGTCACCTACCCATAGCACACACATACACACCACCAACGCTTGTGAATGTATTTTTCTGTTAGTTGGGTTTACATGTGATGTTTTAGTGCTTTTGCAAGTTCAATTTGTTAGTTCCTGTATGAAAGATTGTGGAGGAAAAATAAACGTTGTGCCGTTAGCTTTTTCCGTAATAACACCCTTCCTTCTGTAAATACCCGTTACCATATTTATCCATTTGTAATTAAATTATGGTATTAACTTGCTACAGAGGAAACAATATTTATAAAGAATGTTTCTTAACTATAAATATGTACAATTGTGGGCATAAACTGTTTCAGATTTTTTATTTGAAGGTTTTAAGTGGTTTGATCATTTCTTGTGATATGTTTTGAGAGTAATGCATACAGAAATATAATAAAACGTGTTGAAACTGTATGAACATATTTTTTTTCCTAGCAAGCTTTATTAAAGAAAATGGGAAGGAGATAGCTTGAGGGTTGACACGGGTATGGATCAGAGTGCCCGAGGGTATGGGAAGCCCCACCATTCATTCTGGGGAGGAAGGTGTATGTATGCATAGAAAGGAGGCCAGACTGCCCCTTTGGCAGAAAGTCTCAAAATTATTTTCTACATCCCTTTGTTTAGTAGCAGAGAATGAATTAAATTTTTGGAAAGCCCCTGTGAGGAATGGCGGCGGGAACCTTCAGAGTTTCTAATGGCTCCATTATCTGAGGGAATGCCTTTCTTTCTTTCAGCTATTTGGGCTGGATTTAAGAGCACTAAACATTTCCTTACTCTTTGTTTTCCCCCTTCCCTGCCCCCTTCCTCTCCCTCCCTCTGAAAAGCTGAGGTACAGTTATTTTTAATTGCACGTTTAAAACTGAGCTGAGTACTTTTGTTTTTGAACTTGGCCCAATGATTATAGTTTAAAAGGGCCCGTTTCTACCAGAAGTTTTTCCTTGAAATTTTAAGCAGAGCCTTGGTCTAGAAAACCTGCTTAAGTAGCTCTGCACCAATAATAAGGATGTTCAAGAGAAAGTAATAAAAGAGAATAGGTTTTCATTTTCTTTTGAGTAGAGACTAGATAGGGAAGCAACGACCCTTTGGCCCCAAACGAAAGGAAACCTCTGCAAGAATTAAGTATACTAAAACACAAGCTATAAAGACTGAAATTGCCAGATGGAAGTAACTGAGCTGGAGTACCAGCCACCAGCTTTTTCCGGGACGTTTGCGGCCTTTCTCCCCTCTCCCCCCACCCTCCAACAGGAGTTGGCTAGAGTCTTCTAAGGAAGAAAGCAAAAATAATTTTGATAGCCAAGGGGTAAAGATGGTGAAAATTATTTTTGAATCCCTGAAACCATCAAGGATGGTCTCCCTCTCCCTGGGTGTCCCTGTTGCTTAAGGCCCTGGGCGGTTGCCGAGCTACTTCCCCAGCGGTGAAAAGACCAGGCGGCAGCAGCAACACCTCCGTGGGATTGCGCAGTGCTGCGCCAGCCGAGATCAGAGCGCGGGGGGCTGAGGTGGCGAGCGCCGCTTTCTCCTTTCCCTGCGGCCCTCAGCAGAGCCGCACGATCAGGCAGGACAAGCCCCAGGGGCGCTTGGGGAGAGCAGGGCAACTCTGACCTTGAGGCCATGCTACCTGTTCAAGGGGGAGGAAAGCACCCCATCCAGCCTGGGGTTTGTGGGAGCATGTGACAATCAGAGGGTGACAAACGCCAGGTTCGCCCTCCCCAGCGGCTCAACGAGCTGCCTAAGCGCCAACTCCTGAAGCAATCAACCCTCTATTAAAATCGAATTTATAACCCCCTAATAATATTAAGGAAAATTATTAAAATAATTGGCATATGTTACTGATCCTTGGGAGAGTTCATTGAGCACATTATAAGCTGTGAGGAAAATCGTTTAGGGTTTTCCAAAGCCCCTCAAAGGGGGGTGGGGGAGAGACAAGGAGTCAGATTAAATATTCGTTATAACTTAGATAAGAATGAAACAGTCTATTCCAAATGCTTTCAGCTTTTTAATTTTGGGGATGGGAAATGTTGCTTTTAAGACACCTCCCAAATCTAGAAGGACTGAATGGAGCCTAGGGATGGGCAACTTTAACATCTTCTCCAGACCTTGGGGCCTTTCTCTCCTTGGAGGGAAGAAAGGAGAAAAATGAATGCTCTCACAATCTCCAGGTGGTTCGGTTGTTTTCCAGATCTGTGGGAGAGGTACCCCAGAGCCCATTAAGCTGGGGACTCTGATCCTAGTTTTCAGCGGTAAAGAGTGAAGGGACAAGGCGAGGAAGACCACGGCTTGAAAGTAGCTTCCCAGTCCATCCTAGAATGTACGGAGCCAAGGGGTGGGGGGGTGCAGCTTTCTTGAAAAATGGCTCCCAGTTCCTCGACTTTTGCGTCCCACGGCTTTGTCACAAACCCGACGACGTGGTGGCCTAGTCTCCCTCGTTCATCTTTCTTTTCCACCCTCCAAATCTCAGGGACTGGATGAAGGGCGAGGGATATGACAAAAGTGTTAGAAGAGTATGGATGATGTCAGAATTGCCTGCCCAGCAATACAGCGCCTAGGCCTGGGCCTGGGGCTAAGAGGGGCTTGGGGGTGTCCTTCCTTCCCTCCCCTGCGGCGCCACTCTAAATGAACCTGAATGCTAACCTGCCCTTGCCTTGAATCCAGAGCCACAAAACTGAAGCTCATCTTCACCTCCCTCAGGGGCCCAGAGCTGTGCTGCGGTTCGCTGCCCGCAGGGAGGCCGGCCCACCACGGCTGGAAGAAGGTTTCTGCCTGCCACCGTCTCAATTTGAACTTCAGTGCGCCCAGGCTCACTCCCTTCGCGCTCAGCTCCATCCACCACCGAGTAACTCCCCTCCATGTGAGATTCGCTTTATCCGGAGGCAGCTGGAGCTCCCTCGGGAGGCCCATCATTATTATTATTAATTATCGTGATCCCCGCTGCATTATTAATGACCACAAAGATAACTGGCATGGGTATCAAGCTTCTCCCAGTTCAGAGATGTTCTCCGAAGACCCCGGCGGGGAGGAGGTCATTCTCAGAGCAGAGGTCGTGTCGGTTCTGTTCCGGGTGTGGGCAAAGGGAGACCAAGCCCCGTGGGACGCGAGTAAAGGAAACACGTCCCAGGCTCCGCACACCCACCCCACGCCTGCCCCGGCCCCTTTCCTCTCTGTCGGTCACTTCGCTCTTCCTCCACCCCACCCCCTAGCCCCTTTGTCTCTTTTTCAGACGGATGTTTTCAGTATCAAGTGGTTTTATCTTCCGGACAAAACCCTGAGATCAAGGGCAGATCACTGACTGAACCGGAGGCTCTAGTTTCCCGGGACGCTATGCTTGTCTCCCGTATCCCTGTGTTGGCTGGGAAGGCCTGGGCCCTCAAAGTGACCGGTGGCCTGCCTGGGTTGGCGGGCCTGGTTTGGGGGAAGGTGTCCTGATAGGTCCCTGATGAACTCACTGGTAGCATGAGAGATGTGGGGGGGGATGAGGGAAAGGATGACCAGAAATTCAGGTGATGCCTTCACCCCACATCAATCCAAAGGGTACACGAAGGCCGCAAAATAGCACCCCAAATCGGTTGAACTTCGGCTGAATTATTTATTTATTTTTAACTAGACACGTGCTCTGGAAAGCGACCCTCGGGATCCAAAGTAAGGGTTCAATAAATACTTGTGAACTGATTGATTATAGTCTGATACCGCTCTGGTACGACAGAAACTTGGAGCTTCTCGGCCTACTGCTATACAGCAGACCACAAAGAATGTTTTCTATTTTTAACTAGCACCTCAGAACCGGGCCAGGAGAAATGTCACCCTTCCCTTTCCTCCGCTCTACATACCCGCGCCCCAAACCTCGCTCCCAGCTGGCTGTTCTTTCCAGATTGGATCCAGTGGTCCAGCATAAACCCTCAGGCCCATCCCGCTGGGTGTCTAAGGACGCTAAAGGCAGTAATAGTGATTTGAACAGGGTGTTACAAATAAGAACTCCTGCAGACCACAACCAGGGTAGCTGAAAGGGCCTAGTTCACGGTCAAGGCTGTGGGGTGACTGGAGCCAGAGGATCCAGGCCCCGCCCCGCCCCTGAATGGCCACTGCCCAGATCTCAGGCGGAGAACTTAGGACCAGATCCTTCCACGGCTGCCCCGCCCCTACAAGACACAGCCCCGGAACAGTCGGTGTTGGGGCCAACTCCCCCCCACCCCACCCTACGCCGTTTCCTTTTGTTCCCAGGGGCTGACAAGCTTTTGAAGTGGTGACACCTGGCTTCGCCTTCTCCTGCTCCACGCCCTGCCCTCGTCCAGCATCCCTTCGGCACCATCGTGCGTGATGAGGTCAGCAGAGCAGCCTGGTAGCGGCTGGTGTGCTGGGGGGGAGGCGCCCCTTCACTTGCACACGCGCGCGCACACTGACAAATGCACACTCCATACTCCAACACGTCCACCCACACATGCTCACCTCCTGTGGCTTCTGCATCTCTCTGTCACGGCCCGCGTGAGTGGGAAGGCCCCGAGGCCGCAGAGATGCGTATGGGTGACTGGAAGACCAGCAAGCGATGCTTCCCTCATCCCTCCGCTCCTTCCCATCCCCCTCGCACCTTTCTTCTTCGCTCACAGGGGACTTGGCTTGGCCTGCACTCAACCCAACTTGGCTTTGGAGGATCCGTCGGCGGGCAGCGTTTCCGAGACCCACACCTCGAGTCTCCAGCAAGGGACTTGATAGGTGGGGGGGTTTACTTACAGTGGGATCCTCCAAGCGCATTTCCAGGGATGGGATGGGCCAGGCTGCCCTGCCCACCTGCACTCTCCCTACTCCCCTGGTGAGTGTAAGGAGTGCGCCCCTCGACTCTCTGGAGTGAGGGAAGAGCCAACTACCCCGCCCTATCTCTACAATCTTTGCCTCAATATCCCCTCCACCCCCAGCCGGCCAGCT